CTGAACCAATCGGGCCAGGTTGCACTGCGTGGTCTCTTGCTATCCAAACTGCATCGAGGGAAAGGTTTGAAGAGAAAAGCAGTTGGACAGGAGTTCGATTTTAATTAAAATGTATTTACTACAGAACACACGGAAGCTAGAGAAGAGTTTAATGGGGGGTTGGTATGTGGGTGGGTGGAGGTGTGGAGTGGATAATAGAGGGGAGGTCAGAATGATATGACTTTCTGAGAGGTGAAAAGCATGAATTCCTTCTGCAAGTTCATGTGTGCCCTGGTCTGTATCAACCCAGCAAATGGCCGTGTGTCCCTCCTTTCCCACTGCACTCAGCTTTCAATCAAGTGTCCGCCTCTCTCCCCCACAGCCTGGTGTCTCAGGGGAAGCTGAGGCTGGCCTCCGTCCCCCCACCCCCAGGCAGGGGCCTTGCCTGGCACAGCCAATCAGCACATTCCAGCCCTCTGGCTATCCTAGAGGTTCAGGTGGGCATGTGACCCAGTCCAGGCAGAGTGGGTCTCAGGACTCCTGCTTGGAATGCTGGGTCAGAAATGTTCTCTTTGGGATAAGGTTGCTTGTGGCAACAAAAGCTGTTGGCACTGGCCGCAATGAGGAAAACCAGCCTGAAGACAAAGCCAACACGGAGGAGGGCAGAGCCAAGAGAATTGTAAAGAAAGGTAGCTGGAGCTCTTACTTCTGGTCTCTTCTGTCCTAGGAGCCTCTTTCTCTCCTGTTGTGGTTAGGTTTTTTCTACTGCATGTGGAATACACTGACTGCTAGCCCTGACTTCTGTGGAAAGAGATTGCTTTATCTCTACACTGCTCCCGAAGACAGAATCTGCTTGGACCGCAGGCACGTCTGTTGGACCAGTCATGGTGGGGGCTCTATGGTTGGCCGGGCCTGGGAGCTGTGCCCAGTCTTGTAACCGGGAGAGTGTATAGAGCACAGGCTCAGATGTCAGCCAGGCAGATTCACCCTGCTGTATGCTGGCTCCGGGGAGAGCTTGGGCGAGTGGGGCTAGACTACTTTCATAACCCTGTGTCTCTTCCTCTCACCCCCTGCACACCTACTCTCTGTCTCTGTTTGCTTCGGTATGTCATCTCCTGCCTGCTCTCAGCTCTCCAGAGCCGACTTTCCCATCATAGCTGCCAACAGGCACACATTCCCCAAAGTGCTACGGTCTCTCTGAGGGCATTACTGATTTTGATAGGTGCCATTTCTCCCCCAAACTGTCTCTGGAAAACCCACTGAAAATGTGGTAGGCCCGATGAGTGCCTAGTGACCTTGCAAACATTTATATGTCTTATCTCTGAAACAGAGAGCATTGTGAGGCCTATCAGGAAGATAACGGGCTAGAACAAGGCCCCAGTGATCTTGCTTCTCACATACTCCTGTGTCTGTTTGAGGGAGGTACAAATGTTTCCACTTCCTGGCTTAGAAAGTCCTTCTCCAAAGATAGCTCCCAAGGTGGCCCGGGGCCAATCAGCCTTTTCTCATCATTTAAGGTCATTGGACTTTGCATAGATACCAGCCTTCTACTTCCTTCTGAAAGCCGAAAGCCAAAGGGCCTTTGATAGCAGCATGGGCAGGAACTGGTGAGAACCATAATCACTATTTTACCCCTTCCTGGAATGTAAGTACATGAGGAAGGGGCCCGAAGGCAGGGACCCTTTCTCATTTGGAGGGGGAGACACAGGTGGTCTAACTCTTCTCCTTGCCCTTCACATGTTGTAAGAAGCACCCTGGCTTCTCCACAGAAAATCTTTGCATTCTACTTAGTTCAATTCTGACCTTTCTTCAAGCAAATTGCCAGGCTTGAAATAAAAAGAAGCCAGGCCTGCCACCCCCACAGCTGTCTTGGAGTACCGTCAGGTAGATAACCAATGATAATGGAGATCACCAGCTGAAGTTTTCTTGAGGGAGGTACGCATGTGCTGGTAAACCCATGACTTCCAGTCTGAGATGCAGATATTTTTAGGGATGAATCTGGGCCTTCCTTTTCTCCCTCCTTCTGATGCTAATGTGGCCATCTGCATCTCCCAGACAACCTTCTGCGGCACACATTCACCGTCCTGAGAAGAGTGGGCTGGGGAAGGGATTATTATTAAATATAGCTTACTGAGCCACGGCACGAGGAGCTTGAGCTTGCCTCTGTGCTAAGAGGGAGGCCGAGGCCTCAGAGACTTGGAACCCATTCCCACACTCCCTGACACTCATAAGCGCCTTCCCTTCCCTGGGACTCCATTTGTTTTTTAAATTTCTTTAATCTGTTAAATGAGGGGCTCAGATGGTATTTCCTCTATGGCCCGTTCTACCTTTGCAAGACCTTCTCTTTGAAGAGCTTAGTCTTATAAACTCCCAGACACACAGTCCAGTGGGAGATACCATGGTAGCTGCTATGTCCAGAGGAGGTGAGGTTGTCATCTCCTGTCCCCCATTTCTCTCTACCCCGCAGCGAGATGGCCGGGAAGGGTAACTTGTGTGTGGAGGTGAGGGGCCCTGGCTCGAGAGGTCCCAAGGCGATATTATCTCCATCCATGCACTTAGCCCCCATGAACGCCCAACTTGCCCTAAAAGCTCACCTAGCAAGGGTCTTTCTTACTTGAGCCCCTGAGTTAAAAAGGTGGGGTGGGAAAAACAAAACAAAACAAAAAGTTTGGGTGGGGGAGAAGAGGCAAAGCTCCTAGGAAGGCAGGGCTAAGTTTTAGTTTTTGAGCTACTAGAACTTCTATACTGAGCAGTGTTTTTGTAAAACTTGGTTGGCCCAAAGTGTTCCTGAAGTAGTTAAATGTGTTTAACTTGGAGAACATTGTGCTAGAGATAAGGTGATGGGAATTATAAAAGATACAAGTAATAAAGAATAGAGCTCCCATAGCCCCTTGTACTTCTGGTTATTTATCAGCTGTGTTGTAAGTTACATGAACGCAGGAACCGTTTCCAGCTCACAGTAGCATTTGTGAACTGAATGAATGACTATCTCCAGCTCCATCCCCAACAGGATTGCCTCAGACCCAGGCCAGAAGGAAGAGGCCTTGTGTCCAGTGAGGCTTTGCACTGGGGGCAGAGGCAGCACTCTTTCCCGAAGCTCCTCTCTATCTAGCGTTTCCTGTATCAGTCTGTAGATAAAGCAGGGCCATGCTGGTCTCATCTCCTGGCCCTAAGAGTGCCCAGGCCTGAGCTCAGCAGAATGTTTGGGCAGGTCAGGCTCCAGAGCAGTTCCTTTAGAGATAGAAGGGGCGCCTGGGTGGCTCAGTCGTTAAGCGGCTGCCTTCAGCTCGGGTCGTAGTCCCAGGGTCCTGGGATCGAGCCCCGCATCGGGCTCTCTGCTCTGTGGGAAGCCTGCTTCTCCCTCTCCCACTCCCCCTGCTTGTGTTCCCTCTCTCTCTGTGTCTCTCTCTGTCAAATAGATAAATAAAAATCTTAAAAAAAAAAAAAAGAGGTAGATGGGGCCTGTCTAGTGTTCTTGAGCCGCGAGCAGGGCCATAGCAGCCCCAGTGCACAGTGTTAGGCATGCAGAGGCTGGGTTCAGAGCTTTAGGCTCAAATTCTGACCCTGTTACTTATTAACCGTGTGACCTTGAAAAGTTAACTTTCCCTCACTGAGTCTCACTTTCCACATCTGTTAAAGGGAACAATAGCAAAGATACAGACCTTACAGAGCCATCATCAGGACTGAGAAAATGTGCACAGAGCCCACTCCATCCACGGGCATCGCAGGCAGTGTTCCGTCAAGAGGAGAGCCGCCCCTCTGGGAGTCACTGCTGACTTCTACAAACTGAGCAGGGACAGCTTTTGCTGTAGTTCAACTACAGGAAGTTGATTGAACTCTGAAGATGCTAAGAGAGCTACCAGGTAGGACAATCCCTGGGAAACCCCAAAAGGCCTGGAGTAGGATCCCCTGGTAAGGAGCAGAGAGAACAAAGAAAGCCCCAGGTTTGATGGGGGCAAGCTGTTTTGTTTGTATGTGCCTGGCAAGGGAACAAAGTCTCTCTAGAGGGTGGTCTGGAGCTGTGGAAATTCCAGCAGCCTGTAGCCACAACACTCTTTACTCACCGCCCAAGCTTGCCTGTTCTCTCCTGGGTCAGCTCAGTTCCCAGAACGTTGGTGGATGCCTGCATTGGGCCCAGCCCGTGATAAGAGCCCGGGCTCCAGAGGTGAGTAAGACATGGCTCCCGCCCCTGGGATCCCTGTTCATGATCACTGCTATACCCGGGGCAGTCTGCACAAGTTGTTGGTAGGATTTACAGTGTACAAAGCCGCTTGGCACCCCTCACTAGGCCCCACCTGTTCACACAGTGTTTTCTGTGGATGGTGCTCTCTGCGGCTGAGGGCTTATGGGCAACCCAGGAGCGTGGGCAGAGCAGAGATTAAGGCAGCCATTTGACAGTCAAGAGAAGAGGGTGCTTAGGTGATGTGACTAAGGTCACGTGGCTGGTCTGCACTACAGCCCCTCTTCCCACCAGCGTTGTTCTAAGCAAGGCCGGTCCAGGTGAGGGGAAGAGCCTATCAGCTAACAGGGCGTTTGCTGAAGCCCGGCTGGTCAAGAGCCAAAGCAAGGAGGGAGGTCCACAGCCGGTACAGGAAGTGCCATGCTGCTCCCTCACTTCCAAAAGTGGAAGCTGAGGCTTGCTTTCCAGCTGCCCAGGCCAAGGAGCCTGAGGCCCAGCCCCTGCCTCTCCCCCGACACTAGGATACTAGCACCCAGGTTTTCATCTAGCAGCACCATTACACCCCGCCTTCATCGGCCTCCCGCTGGTCTCAGACCTGTACCGGGGCTCCCCGCACTCAGGGCACGGCTACAGCCCACGTGCGCCCGCCGGCAGACGCGGTGACAGCTGGCCCCGTGGGGGCGGAGCGGGCGTGGAGCGGGGGTGGGCTCCGCGCCGCACTGCCATTGGCCGCGGGCCTCGGGTCGGGGGCGGGGTGCGCCCCCGGCCGCTCTGTCATTGGCCGCGCCGCCGATGGGGGCGGCCCCCAGCGCAGTCAGCCGCGCGGCGCAGAACTGCAGGCGCTCGCCTGGCTAAGGCTGCGCGGGGCTGCCTCCCTAGCTCCCAGCTCCGCAAGCCGCCTGCGGGTCTTGACCGCCGCGTCCGCGGCCCGAGGCGAAGGCAGAAGCTGACCCGAGGCTCGGTGGCGGGAGCGGATCTCGGTAAGGGGGGTGGGGTGCGGGGCTCCAGGGAGGGAGGGAGGGAGGGGAGGGAGGGAGGGCGGGCGGGGACCGTGGCAAGCCGAGCCTGGACTCTGTGCCCTGGCCCGCGCTGGGGACAGTCAGGTGCGGCCGCAGCATCTCTCGCTTCAAACCCACCCCGCGGGGCGTCCGGCAAGCAGGTGGCCCTGCCCGGGGAGGCCGGGGCTGCCCGATAGGTCTCTGAATCGATTAGAATGCAATAAAAGCCTGCCACCCGTACCCCGAACTACCTCCTACTCCGCCCCAACACCCAAACCCTGTAATTCTAAGCCGAGAAAATCCCCAAACGTCAACACGGAGTGGGCGCGACGCGCCCGCAGTACCGCATGCCACCGGGGCAGACCATTCCCAAACTTTGCTTTCCCATAATTTGGGCTCCGCTCTGTTCACGCTCTTTCCCGGCTCTTCACTGGGCGCTCCCCTACCCGCCGCGGTTCTTCTCCCTCCTTAACAACAGGAAGTTAAGTTGGGCCAAATGTCAGTGGCCTGGCCTCCTGTGGGCTGGGATTGGGACTGAGTCTGGGGTCCGGGCGTGGAGGTGATCAGGGGACTGTGGCGCTGTCCTGTCTGTCGTGTATCCCCCAGCAGCCCAGGCGCACCCCAGGCCTGGGAGCCGCGGCGGGGGCGTCTGCGGCTCCCTCTTCGTTGTCGTCGTCCGTACTAGCTCTGGGAAGAAATGGGGTCTTGCAGGCAGCGTCTGCCACCGCTGACCTGGCTTCCGGACTGGAGCAAGTGGGGTTAACTTTATCCTAGGTCAGCCTCCCGGCTGAGCTGGGAATCATAGCCTTTGCTGGATGGGGAAGAGGCGTGTTGAAACCAGAGTAAACGTGTACGTCTTTCCACATTGTTAATTCTGTAACCTGGGTTCTTAAGGCCAAAAGAGCTTTTATTTGGAGGGCCATCCTGCCTTGCGGGACTTGGGGTGGCAGGTATGGACCTTCTTGCTGTCAGCCTCCCTTGCTCATTCTAGTCTTCTGTGGTTTCAGGCGGTGGTGGGGGGTGGTGAAGTCACTAGTTGGCCCCCTTGTGGGCAGGTCCTTCCGAAAGAAAGCCAGCAGTGGGTTGGCCCTCTGGTGTTTATGTGCCTGGGTGCCTGGCACCTGGACCAGCTCAGTTCTTGTCCCCTTCCTGGGGCCAACAAGTGGGCCTCAAGTCTCCAGGACAGCCGCAACTGATGTTCTGAAGACTCCTTGAAGGAAGAGCTTGCCTTTGGGCAGAAGAGAGATTTATTACGTGCCTACGGACAGACAGGTCCTGCCCTGTGGCACTTTTGCAGCAGATTTCATGGTTATTATCCAAACACTCAGTTTTGCCCTCCTCATTTTAGATGTGGGGAAACAGACTCAGATAGCGTAAGTGCCCAAGGTCACGCAGAAAGTGGCTGAGCCAGGATTTGGACCAGGCTCTGCCAGAACTGTATTCAGTGTTCTTCCTGCTGCCCTGTGGCTCTAGAAAATGATGTCTGCAGGATCATGGCACTCCCTTGTGCTGATTGGAGCCTCCTGGCCTTTGAAAAGATTTTGTCTAAAGATTCAGAGGCTGCTTCTTTGGCAAAGCACTTGAACTGGCCCTGGTTAGCCCAGGTTGTTCAACCTGCAGACCACTTGCTCACTCTGTCCCCTAGTCAGGGATGAATGGCTGGTATTGGTCATGCTGTACTGGGGAGGGATTTGACCTGCTGGTGTTTGGGGGGGGGGGGGGGGGGAGGAAGCCTGCCTGTGCCATTGACTTGGTCTCACCTCTGAACGTTGGTTTCTGGGATGGTCTAGGAAGGTCTAGGATGGTCTATTAGCTGAAATAACCTCTACCTTAGATCTGATTCTGGTTTTGTTCGTTTTGTTTTAGGGGACCAGTTGTTGAGCTATACTAGTTATGATTGTAAGGCGATTGAGACCCCCAGATCCTCTTATCTGCACTGCCTGCCTTCTTCAGTCCTGGAGCTCTGGCTTTCCGCTCATCCCTCTCTTCTAAAAGAAAATCATGATTAGCCTAATACCAACCAGTTGTACTTTAGTAAAAAGCATCTTGTGGACTAAGGCTGGTTTTAGCTGTGTTCATTGGAGGCCCATTCCCAGGAGCAGCAAGGAGCAAAGGAACAGTTGGGTAACCCTCCTCTGCCTGTAATTGGGGTGTCTTTCTTCTCTTTGCCCATGTCCATGTCCTCATCTGGGTGTGCCTGTCAACAACCACGGACCTGTTCCTTTCACTCCCTGCTTTTGAAGGGTAGAGGTCCTGCCTTCTTGGTGGAGAGCCTTCATTCTGGCTGGAGGGGTAGGGTATGGATGCAAGAAAATTTGGGCTGAACACCGCTCATCTTAGAAGTCCTGCCAGGGCTAAAAGTCTCTGTTGTTTAAAGAGCCAGGGAAGGGAATACTGTTCATCATGTGGGGAATTTTCACTCTTTATATCAGTAGGTCCCCCCATTAGCCCTCCAGAGAAGTAACTGGGGTTGTCCCCATTTTACAGATGAGACTGAGACGGGGGAAGTTTGAAAGCCCCCCCCCCCCACTTGCTTCACATGGCTAGTGAGCAACGAAGCTAGGCTTCTGGTCTCAGTCTGTATGAATGAGATTGAGGTGGTGAGTTAAGGACTGAAGGAAGCAGGAAAACTGGTGGCTGTGCTCTGTAGTCTGGAGGGGTGGTGTGGCCCGTTCCCTCGCAGCACTCACTAGTCCCCAACTTCTGTTACAATTCTTTGTGAACATGGCTTCCCATCCCACCATGAAATGGCTTTGAAAACCCTCACAAAACTTAGCAGATTTCTTTCCTGGTTCTTACAAATCCTTCTTGCTCTTTGCTCCGTATCCCCTTAGGCTTTTGTACCAGTCTTCATTAAGCTGTCCACCACAGTGTACTGCCATCCTCTATTTTACCATATCCACGAACATTTTCAAACACAAAAATAAAGACAATAGTATAACGAGCCCCATATACTCATTATCTAGCTTCAACAGTCATCAAGATTACGCCGGGTTGGCTTCATCTCTCATTTTTCTCCTCTCTGTCTTTTCTTCCTGAAGTATTTTAAAGCAAATCTCTGATACCATGTCATTTTGCCCCTATCTAATCCAGTATATATCTATTTTTATTTTTTTTATTTTTTTAAGATTTTATTTATTTATTTGAGAGAGAGAGAATGAGAGATAGAGAGCATGAGAGGGAAGAGGGTCAGAGGGAGAAGCGGGCTCCCTGCTCAGCAGGGATGTGGGACTCGATCCCGGGACTCCAGGATCATGACCTGAGCTGAAGGTAGTCGCTTAACCAACTGAGCCACCTAGGCACCCCCAGTATATATCTATTTTTAAAAGAATGTGTTTTTTTTTTTTTTTTTTTTTGTAACCACATTGCCATTATAGCATGTAATAAATGAGCAGTAGTTCTTTGGTCTCGTCTGTCCGTATTCAGAGTTCCTGGATTGTCTCCAAAAGGACCTACGGAATTGGTTTGTTCGAATCAGGATCCAAGTCTGTATGCTGCGTTTGGTTGCTAGTCCTTTTATGCCTATTTTAATCTGGAGCAGCCTCCCCTCCACTTTTTAACCAGCCACGACCCTCCGTCTTAAGTGCCCACCTCCCCCACTGGCCAGCAAACCCCACGAGGCTGGAATCCACTTCTGTGCCCAGCTGGATCCCTGTGTGGCCTCTGGGATGGGGCAGAGGCCGGCTGAGCATCTGTCCAGTGATGTCGCAGCCACTCAGGCAATGCATTTGGAGTGAATGAACCCTGTCCTGGGCTTGTGTGACTGCTTGTGACAGTGTTTAGATAAGAGGGTTAAAAAAAGATGAGTTGCTCGCGTGTGGAGGTTTCCTCAGCAAGCGTCACTCTGTACACATCGTGAAATAAGAGGAGAACTATTTGCTGTGCTCACCACACTGCTCTGGTTTGTGGTGGGGAGCCCAGATGGCCGCCTTTCTGCCCTGATCAGCAGCCGGTCTCCCCCGATCATCTGTGGGGCAGACGGGGACTGAGGTCATTTCTGCCAGAGCTTGGAATCCCAGCTTACTCAGCCAAGGGCATCAGCACATTCTGACCCAGACACTTGGCATTTGGGCTCCACAGAGACCTCTGCACACCTCCGTCTGGGCCTTGCTCCTTCCCTGTGCCTTCCCGAGCCTCCTCTGACCTGCCCCACACCTGGCCAGTTGTGGAGCCTTACTCAAACGACGCACACTCATGACCTTTCAGTATGTTGTCTGAGTTTGCGGTGAAGAGCTAGTGTCGCCTCTGGCACCTTTGTGGGCATCCTAATGTAGGAGACAAGAGGCTCAGAAGGGAAGGAAAAGGTACGCTTCACTCCCGGATTCCCTGTCAAATCTACGTAAGATCTGACCCACCCGCGAGGGGCCCCCTCTGCAAACAGCCCTCAGAATGAGGAGTTGTTTTTTCCTCCTTGTTGTTTGTTGTTTGTCTTGGGTTTTTGTTGTTGTTGTTTTTCACACAGTCTTTTCCACCAGGCGAGTCCTTCTTTTTTGATGGCCGTGCTACAGGTGATTCATTTTCCCTTATCTTTAGTCATCTTCTTAGTATTTTCTCCAAATTTTTACAATAAAAACATTTTTCTAGTGGAAAATCCAAATACTTGGGGTCTTTTTCCTTAAAAAAGAGAATTTTCTTCAATGTGGATGGGTAGACAAAATTATACGTGCGTTTTTGTACAGCTATGTATGTGGATAAGGTCACAGAGCCATTGGGATTTTGATATTTGCTTATTTTATTTATTTGTTTTATGACATTATCTTTAAGAACTTACCTGGGCTTCCTTAAATTAGGGAATCAAGAAAGCTGGGGCTTAGGAAACAGGAACCCATGGAACCCATGCAGCCTCACCCTCCTTCCCATTCTGCCTCCTCCCTTTCCTTCTTGAGAATTTCATTTTGGTTTCCCCGAAATCATTCTAATGGTAGGTTCTTGATTTTTTTTTATTCAGCTGTCAGAGACACAAAATGACATGGTTGTTAAGG